ACAACAATAGCAGACCGGGCATCTAGCTGGTGAGCGTTCTGCACGCCTCTGACTTTGGGGAACCATCGCCTTATCGACCTTTGACAAAGCCTCCACTATTTTGACATAATCTTTTTCCGCGAAGAGAGTTAAATAGTAGGCTTTAAACTGAGCTGGCGGCCTATCAATTCTCGCCTGAATCTCTTGCAAGCTCACAGATTATATGGTGGCCTTGCTGTGCTTCTCCAAATGGGCTGTTCTCACTAGATCTTGAGCCAGCGCAAGAGCCTCGTACTTGTCGAAATCATGCGGAGCCTTCAAGACGAGGCTGTTAATCCTGCCCAAAATGGACTCCACTGATTCCACGGACATTTGCTCTAAGGCCTTTAGTCTCGCCACCAAACTCTCCAAATCAGGCAACTAAGGTAAATGGAGAAACTGGAATTAGACACATAAAGCACCATAATAAAAGGCAAATACTTATGATGCCAATGACACTGTTTCCATTGCTTTGATCTCAGTTGAAAATTCAATAGGAAGGAAAACACACGAGTCTAATAGTGGATCAATCATTTAAGTGTGAAGATGCTTTTAAGCATAAAATAAAATTAAAGGACCGAATATTCGAGCAATATCATCGGTTATGATCCACGATGTGACAGAACACAAACACATGCAAACGTGTAGCTTTGCCGCGTAAATTTGAATGACGTCAGCATTTAATGACGTCAGCATTTAACAAAATGGCGCTACCCGTACTCGGGAGCAAAAATCGGGGTATCGTAAGGTCTCTAGTGTGAACTCCCTTGTGAGAGTCATTAAAAGAACACAAATATGTTCTTTTATAGAAATATATATTTCACAGCTGATTTTAAGGATCGAGAGTTCAATAGTTAGCCTATTAATCAACATTTAAAGATAATAAGTCATAATTTATAACCTGGCAGCAGAGAAATGTGTATATCCTTATAAAACTTATTAATAATGCATAAGCTATTGCTCCAATAAAGGCTGACCATTTAATCAGGTGATTGACCTTGTAAATCTGATACAAGCACTAGTGGTTGTATCAGATTTACAACACGGTCGTCACCATTGAGACAACCCAACACTAGCAAAGGTCTCAGTTTTAGTGTCGCATCATAGACCTTCACTAGGCTTTGAAGCAATCAAAGACGGATAACAGAACTCGCTTATGCAACAGATGGCTTGCTTTCCATGTGGGATGGATAATTATTCAAAATGTTCTGTGTTGCAGTAAATTGCGCATGCTTAATAGGGACTAAACTCAGCAGTTACCTTATTTGTCATTTTTCGTCATTTATCTCACTGTAATTCATGTTAATTTGTGTTGGAGTTTTATAAGTCGTTTACAACATTCGCGTCCGTGTTGTATGGGAATTACAATCTCTCGCCTGCGGCTCGAGATTGTAATTCCCATACAACACGGCCGCTCATGTTGTAAACTATACTTACAACACAGGTATTATTTGCGCAGATTTATATCCGTCAAATACACTGTATTATGCTCTCATCAAACACGGCTTTTTGGCCAATCGGAGCGCGCGTAATATGAAAGTTAATTTATAAACAAGCGTTGAAAGACGTGTGTTAATTGTAGAAGGAATTAAGAACAGTGCCGGGCGGATACAGGATTTTTTAAAGGGGGTTCCAAGGTAAAAACCGTTGAAATTTGAATTAAAAATGTTTGAAATACCTGCCAAAGAAGGTTCATATTCTGATGCAGGTTCCAAGTACTCTTTAAGTGCACCAATATGAATGCAGGGAGGGCAAGTCTTGCACCATTCTACAAATAAAAAAACAAAAACAAAAATGCCATATTTTCTATACATTGTTTTTTTTGCCATTCTTAAGTTTTTCAATTGCAGCCATGTACCTATGTAGTTCACATCATTGATTTCATCGCCAAGAGATGCAACAAGTGATGTACGATTGCTATTACAACTGCAGCTATAAACAAATGCTGCTGAACCCGTGAATGTTATTTTCCTCAAAGTAAGATATAGAAAATTGTATACCTAAAAGCAAGAAACAGTATAAAACAAATATATAAGTACATTTAGTACATTTTTTTAAATAATCTTAAATAATAATATTTTGATTTACAATGCAACCACATATAACTAGTGTTATCATTATCATTTATTGTTATTGTTACTATTATTGTCTTTAAAATAGTATATGTGTTGTTTATTATGAGAACGAGAGTGTGTGTTTTGTCAGGATAATTAGAATGTGTTATTAATACGTTATATATAAAAACTGTCTCTTGACCGTATGCTTGTAAAATCCATGTTGATAGGTAGATGGATACATGATTGTATAACCAGCAGCAATGATATACAAATGTACAAAACAAGGAAAGCTCAACAGCTGAAAATTGCTTTACCATCAAATCATTAGTCATTGGATTGTAGTCCTTCAAAATAAAATGCTGACCATCTTCATCCACAATTATAACGCTATCTTTTGTTTGCCACAAGCAAAACAAATAATTTTTATAGGGCTGTTTTCCTACAAAAATTAAGAGCAATTACATCAATGAACTATTAAACTCATTCATAGGCTAAAAATGAATACTACAGTGGAACCTGGCTATGGAACCTGGTTGTAGGAAGGATGGATTGTTATCTATCGGATAAAGTAATTATTTCCACTGGGAAATTGGATTTTAGATTGATATTACAGTCAACTCTCTCCTTACGGGCACACCGCTATTATGGACACTCAATATTAAGGACATAAAATAATGAATCCCTGGCAGACAAATGAAATGAAATGACAAAAGAAATGAATCAAAGTAACTCCCGTTATTAAGGGGTCTCGCTACTGCGGGTACTTAATTACGAGAGTGTCCGACTGTATAATAGCACTTAGTCCGCTCAACAGCCGGCCCAAGTGGGTTTATCGATGCTCTATCTAATGATCCTCGATTTTTACGATAACATTATCATTTCGAATTCGATATAGCGATATCTAGATTTTACGATACGGCGTTTTTCTTTCACTGAAGTGTATCGGAAAATCCAGGTTCTTTGTATTAATGTATAGGTAAATAAGTAAATGAAATAAAAGCGGAAAATAATTTACTTGTTGTAATTCGAAATCGTCTTCTTCGCTATTTCGACCATAGCTTGAAAAATCGAACTGTTTCCTTTTTCATTTTTTTTACGCATTTTTTTGAAGCGTACAGAATTTCAGAAAGTAGACTTCAAGACTCGACAGTGTTCGCTTAAAGAACTTTTATTGTAACTAGTTACAAAGAATACGTAAGAATACGTCATGCACGTCCTGTAATCAATTAGCTAGGTAGGTAACGTAATCAGGGAGAGGCCATCAGGGAGTGCCGGTTAAATCTGATTATAGCAGCAAAACGGAACTAATAAATTGTCACGCCGTATCACAAAGCCTAATCTCGTTTAGTACTACGGTGTTGTGGCCCACAAGTATCAGAGCATTTTTGAGATACAAAATTACATGCATATGTAACGTGGTTACGAATTCCATTATCTAATGTCATGTAATAATGTTAAAATGATTCTCCTTAGAAATTCCTTTTTGGAGACCCTTTTTAGCATAAATAATTCTTTTAAAACTATCATGGGAAATAAATTAACTTTGAGTCTTTTTCATAATGACAACAAAAGTGTTTAAATATCAGTCTGAATTATGGAAAGTTGATTATTTAATGTTGACAGTTTTTTATAGCTTTTTACAGTTAAATTAGAGTTTTCCGATTTAGCGGAATTCCGGCCGTATGCGGAATTTATTGTTCTAAGTGAGATGCTAGAACAATGGCAGATTGAAAAAGGATTAGCTTTTATCTCCTGAACAGGATAATAATGCTTCACAGCTCCTGTTTGTTTGTGTTGTTGTGCGGTAGTGAAACTAACATTTTTTCGAACTGCTATAGCTCTGAGCAACTAAATTCCAAGCTATCCGTCATCTTTAATGACCAAGTTATAAAATCATTGCACATAACTGGTTTGTTGAGTTTTGTGATTAGGGACTGTGCAATAATTACCAGGAGGGGGGAACCAGGGGGGGGGGGGGCATTACATAAAATTGATGGCAAGATAGGGGGGCTCAAAGTAAAATTACCTAATTAACAGAGGGGGGCCTTAAGTTTTATTCAAAATTTTCATAATTTTCGATGTCTCTCAAAAATGCTGGAAACCGCATTTCCAAGAGTTATTTCTTTAAAATTTTTAAACATTTTCTGGGGGAGGACCAGACTCCCTTAATACTCCTGCCTTTGGCGTTCGTTAGACGAACGTCGCGGTCCCTGACATGTGCATAAAATTAAGTCCACGCTACGCGCCTGACTAATGGAAATTTAAATTCAAATACTCGTTGATGTGTGATTGAAATTGACCGAGATATGAATTTTTTTCAACTATTAAGAGCCGCTTCGCGCAAAAACCAGACAAAATTGAAATTTTCTGGCAAGGCTCGAAAAATCAAATCTGTTCATATTTTGTATATTGGTAAGGTATAATTAGGTAACAATCGCTGTGTAATTGGTTTTTGAAAATATTTCATTTTTCGCAAGAAAATCGCGAATTCATGTCACATACTGTGCCTTTGCGTGACAGATGCTTGATTGCTAAAAATAGCTATCAAAATAGCCAAACTTTATACCGAGTTCATGTAAAAACTAAAATAGCTATTTTAAAAATTTAAATTGCAGCTTTCTCACTAACTCTTTGATATTTATTTCAGTGATTTTCAGACCATTTAATTAAAAGGAAAATTTTCTGGAACTCGAAATATTCGCATATGTATTTTTATGTTGTGCACAATTAACTGGACATTTTGACGTCGGTTTTAACGGTTTTAATCAAACACAACACGGTACATCTGACCATTGCTTCACTCGCAAACCATGTGCTGTACCACACACACTCTCACACTAATGGTCACGTGCTTATCTATGAATACATAATGAGTTTTACAACACTTAATGCTCCCCCTATTAAAGTTCAGCTTTAATATGTCTCTTAAATTTCTTCTTGTTCAGCTTGTATGATCGCAGCAATCTTCTCTCTAGCTAAGTTTGCAGCAGCACGTCGGTTGCGTTGTGGTACCAGAGGTTCTGTCTGACCAACATCAGGTACTCTTACAGCTGGTTGGGGTTCATTATCACATGGTGTTATCTCTAAGTTACAAATCAATTGCAGTGGTCTTTGGACTGTGTATCCATTACCAAGTTTCAGTTCCAGCCCACGGACTACTCCATCCTTTCCATGTATTTCCCTCAGTACTCTAGCAAGTTTCCACTGTACTCTCTTTTTCGTGTCTTCTTTAAGTAATACAACTGAATTCTTCCTCGGGATTTGATATTCTTCCGATTTCTCTCGTGGCGCATGTTTCTCTTCCAGTGCCTGTAAGTATTCCGTTGTCCAGCGTTTCTTGAGATCCTGTTTGCATTTTTGTAAGTGTGCAATTCTACGTGTGGTAACAGTGTCCTCTTCGAGCTGATCAATGTCTTCTTCGAGGAACGTTGTTGGCGCACCTCTGATCAGGATATTTGGAGTAAGAACTGGCTGTTCCATTTCCTCCCCTTGATAAGTTAGAGGTCTGTTGTTTACATGACATTCAATATCAAGCAGTACATCCTCCAGTTCTTCATACTTGAGTAGCCCCTTACCAATGACCTTGGACAAAGCTCGTTTCATAACACCAATTAGTCGTTCGAAAAACCCACCCCACCACGGGGCTCGAGCCAGATTGAACCGCCATTTAATGCGATGGGTTGCTAGAAAGTTCATGACAGTGTCATCATGTTTCAAAGTCTTGATCCACTTTCCAGTTGCTACAAAGTTTTTACCATTGTCACTGACCATCATGTTCGGTGTACCTCTTCTGGCCACAAATTCTCTTAAGGCATGTTGAAATGCTTCAGCGGAAAGATCCTTACAAAGTTTGAGATGAATAGCTCGAGTACAAGTGCAAGTAAACAATGCAACATAGCATTTACTACTCTCGCCGTTCACAGTTTTGTACAATAATGGGCCTGCGAAGTCGACGCCCGTCACATCAAAGGGTGTAGTTAA